AATTCCCAGCACCCACATGGCAGCTAACAACTGTCCTAACTCCAGTTCCAACAAATCTGATGCCCTCTTCTGAGCTACATGCATTGCACAACACAGGTGCACTTACATACATGCAAGCAATACACTCATACACATAAAATAAATAATAATAATAATAATAATAAATAAAATATTAAAATTGACCATTCTAACATGTTCTAATTTACGCAACGCAATCTACAAATACAGGCTACTGTAGAGACACAAAGAGGCAGATGTGCAGTTCTGTTCTGATGATTTGGCTGCAAATAGAATTTGAACAGATTCCAAATACACAGCTGTCAAATTCATAAAAAGTAGCAAAAGAATCACACAAAAGCTTAGGTTTCTCCTTGAATAACAGTGATTCCTGTTTGAAGAAAAAAATCAAGTATTATGTTAATGTTTTATTTTTCCATTGCTAATATTTGACTAGAACTGTGTAGTTTCTTTTTATGCATAGATGTCCCTTTTGGAATTAATGATAAAGTGCTAGCTCAGAAGCTGTTATTAGTTAATAGTATTACTAGGCCCAAGGAAAATATGAAAAATCAATCAATATTACTATTCATGAATAGAATTTTTTAGGCTGTGTTTCACTATGTAACCCAGGCTGGCCTCATATTCTCCATCCTCCTATCTCAGCCTCCTAAGTGATGGCAGGGATTATAGAAATGTACAGCCACACCCAACCAGCATGCAGTTAGCTGAATTAAGTACTATAGTGTAGGAGAGTTGAGCTCCAACACAAAAGTTAAACAAATCTTGGTTCTAACCCTACCCCTGTCATTCACTAGCTGTCATTTCACCTAGGCTTCTTTCTCATCTGTAAAATGAAGGCTTTTGTTCTTAAATATCTACTTCCTATTGCTTAAGATGCTATAAACCTTGATTGTGTGACAGATATCAGGCTAGAAGCTTCCTCTCTGCTAACTAACTTTCATAGTGCTGCTGGGGGAGAATGGTACAAGAGTGGGCCTGTCAAAATTCTGTCATGGAAAGGGGAGGAGCTCCTGAGGCCCTGCCCTTCCTTGAGGACCTATAGGCAGTTAATGGTTTCAAGGAGGAGAGACACTGAAGTTGCCCGTGTTTCTGTAAATAATCCCTCACCTATGCTCACATAAACAACTCTAAACTCATTTGTCCACTAGGAAATAAAAATGCATGGGAGTAGGATGGGGCCTAGCTGGGAAGAGGAAAGAGGATCAGTGGGTGGGAGATGGAAAAGAGATGGTTTTAGCTGGTAAACATAATCAAAATATCTAATATATATACATATATGGGGGCTGGAGAGATGGCACACAGTTAAGAGAACTGGCTGTTCTTATAGATCCGCATTCAAATCCCAGCACCCACATGGTGGTTAACAATTAGTCTGTAACCAGGGGGATCCAACACCCTCTTCTGGCCTCCGTAGGTATTGGACGACATGGGTGCACTTACATGCAGGCATAACACTCATACACATAAAATAAATTTAAAAAAATTTTTAAATACCCTGCCCTCACCTCCCTCTGTTTCCCTGGGCTGCACAACCTGCCAGCCTCTCTCCTGGGAGTCCTCTGGGCCTGGTCCCGCCTGCACCTCCCTTTGCTTCCATGGACTGCACAACCCCAGAACCACCACTGCTTCCTGACCCTTTGCGTCCAGACCAACCCATTTCCTTCTCGAGGTCCAGCAGGAGCCCTCTGGGCCTGGTCCCACCCTCACCTCCCTCTGCTTCCCTGGGCTTCACAAACCGCCAGCCTCGTTCCTGGGTAAGTCCATCGGTGACCACCACACCTTGACTCCCTAAGCCTCATTCACCCTCCCAGCTCCCCTGCCCCGTCTCTCCTCCTAGCCTGGGTACTGGCCCATTTCTTGTCTTGGCACCCCAGACACCAGGGCTGACCTCTCTGCTTGGAGCCACCAATGCTTCCTGATCCTTTGCATGCAGACCAACCCAGTTCCTCCTTGCAAGCACTATAGTTTGAGAAATGAAGAGGGAGGGCTGGACACAAAGGCTGCCAACTTCATCCAGAGGAGCACATGCCCTAGACCAGCATCTTTCCTGGGCCCTGCTCCCAGGTCAGTCCATCCCCAAATTCCTGAGGACAACGTCTTTCCTGGAGGGATCTAGACCTTAGGAGAAAGCCTGAGAGCACCTGATCCTCATCAGACTTGAACCTTAGTGGAAGCTCCTGAAGACAAAAGCAATTTGGCCACTCCAATATAAAATCAAAACAGAGCACTGGAAACTCAGACAAACCAGCTTTTTAAGCCCAAAAAGTAAAGCACAAAGGCACATAAACTTTAAAAAAGAGGCAGACCGAAACTTGAAGGCTTGAGTCTCACACAAGAATCAGAAACTACAAAAGAAATTCATATGTCAAAATCACAGAGGAAAAAAATAAGAAAAACAAAAAAAAACATGTCCTCACCAAATACCAATAGTCCCCTAGAGGAGTATAATGAGAACCCCCTAGAGAAAATGCAGGACATGGAACTCAAAAGAACAATTATAAACATGATAAAAGAATTTAGTGAATTTAATGAACACAAAAAGAAATCAACTGAAGGAAGATAGGGATAAACTTCTGAATGAATTCAGAAAAGAGCTAGAAATATTGAAGACTACTCAGGCGGAAATGAAGAAGGAAGTGAATCACTCGGTAAGCCAATTAGAAACGACAAGAGAAAGCCCCCTCAATAGGATGAATGAAATGGAAAATAGAGTATCAAGACTGGAAGATAAAGTGGACAAACTAGACCACTCAAGCAAAGATTATGAAAAATATAAGAAAACACAAGGCTGGAATATGCAGGAATTGTATGAGACCATAAAAAGACCCAACTTACAAATCATAGGCATACAAGAAGGAGAAGAATCTCAAGACAATGGCATGGATCACATCTTCAACAGAATCATGGAAGAAAATTTCCCAAAATTAAAGAAAGACATGCCCATACAAATACCAAATAGACAGGACCAGAAAAGAAACTCTCCATGGCACATAATAGTAAGAACACTAAACGTACAGAACAAAGAGACAATACTGAAAGCTGCAAAAAAACAAGTCACATATAAAGGAAAACCCATTAGGATTACAGCTGACTTTTCAGTGCAAACTATGAAAGCCAGAAGAGCCTGGACCAAAGTATCTCCAGTTTTAATGACCACAGATGCCAACCCAGATTACTATACCCAGCCAAAAGGTCTAGTATAGTCAAAGGGGAAAGAAAAATCTTCCACGACATAAATAGGCTGAAGGAATTCATGCCCACAAAATCAGCCCTTCAGAGAGTTCTCTAAGCAATACAAAGAGCTGAAGAAAGGAATGACTATATCCAAGTGGTTCTGGAAAGAAATTCAATGAAGGTATAACTGTGGAAAAGTAAAGCTATATCAAGTATGTGAACAGAAATAAAAATGACAGGATTCAACGCACATCTTTCATTAATAACTTTAAATATTGACAGACTGAAGGCCCCAGTCAAAAGATACGCAGACTAGATAAATGGATTAAGAAACAAAACCCATCTCTCTGGTGCACCCAACTTCATAAAAACAATACTACAGGACTTTAAGACTAATCCCAGATTAATCCCAACTTATTAATAGTAGGGGACTTCAATACTACGCTGTCACGCTGTCTCCATTACATAGGTCAACAGGGCAGAGAGTTAACAGAGAGACATCCGAATTAAACAATACCATATATCAAATGG